TTCATTTAATATTTAATTTTTTAAAAGAGAAAAAAAGGGAAAAAGTAATATGTTGAGAAAAAACCCTAATTTGTGGACCAAAATATCTTGGAAGAGAGACAGAGAATAATACCTTTCCTCTTTCTTCATACATAACCAATGGTTCTCACCATGCTTAACTTTATACCATACATTTATTTCGACAAAAAGATTTCGATAACATCTATTCGAGTGGATGAAATTTAATAGATTTTTATCGAGAGAATCCCATATTGGTTGGGGAAGAGAACGAAACACCCTTTATAAAGGTGTGGAAAACTCTATCTAGTAGATGCGTTTTAAAGTCATGATGGGGAAGAGAAAGCCCAAAAAGGACCATATCTACTTGCGGTGGATCTGGGCCGTTACAAATGGTATCAAAGATAGACACTAGACTCTGTGCCAACAAGGAAGGACGATTGTTCCTCAAAGGCGGTGTGCCAGTAAGGATGTTGGCCCCCAACGGGGGTGGATTTGGTGGGGGTCTCACATCGATTGGAGAAAGGAATGAGTGCCAACGAGGAAGGAGATTGTTCCTCGAAGGGGGAAGATACGTGGCGGTATGCAAATAAGGACACTAGGCCCCGAAGGGAGGTGGATTTGGTGGGGATCCCACATCGATTGGAGAAAGGAACGAGTGCCAGCAAGACGCTGGGCCCCAAAGGGGGGTGGATTGTGAGAATAGTTAAATTTGTGCTTTTATGATACTCGAGTAAACAAGAAATACATGAATGAACTAAGACCACATTCGAGAAAGTTATTAGTTATACCAACAAGGTGCATCTTTTTTTTTTTCGATGACTTAATCATAAAAACTTCGTAATTAAACATGTTTTGTTTGTAGTGACAATCCTTACTCTTAAGAAGCAAGAAGTAGATAACGTGACCATTTCGTATGAGAAATTATGGTTTATCAAGAGACCGGCGTGGCCAAACACAACAGTACTTACATGACATGTCAGGAAGCTTAATGGGCCCACTTTTTTTTTTCTTTTATTCTTCTTTATGGAACAATAAGTCAAAACCAAACTTTCACTATTTACCTACGTGCCCTTGGCTAACTTAACTCCCTACTATGGTTAACTCATTAAACCTAACCTTATTTGATGGTCTTGTTTGGTTTATATTCATCAAGCAAATGCCCATTCTGTACCTTCCATTGAATTGTATGATAAAGAAATATTGTCCAAGACCAACTTTAGGTAATGCCATAAATGTGTTTGATACAAGCGTCGTACTTGATTTTGTAAAGTTACGGTAAATAGCAAGAACATAAAGTTATAGTCGTGTACTTTGTTTCTAGCAAGGAGGAATAGACGTTTCCTGCATCATGTCTCCTTATCATCTAAACCTAATGTAGTATTGTAAGTTAGAGAATTAGGCTATACGTGGCTAATTAGGTCGAGTCTTTTTCGTGGCCCACGTTATTGATTGAAAGTTTCTTTAAGTAGATGTATGATAATGTCATATGTGGTTAAAAAAAAGTCCCTATTGAGTTGAGACGGATGCATGAGAGTTACAAGGCTTTACGTGCATGTTGCTATGTTTGTTTGAAGTTGAAGCACATCTCACCGTGCTAATGTTCAAGAACAGTGGTTAGCTTAGTTGTCATGATATGATCGTTAACGTTCTTAGTGGTGGTGGGTTCGTGTTGTGAAGTCGGATAATCTAAACAATTCAATAATATTGTCTTTCAATTATTGTAACAACCCTAGCTCACCGTTAGCAGATATTGTTCTCTTTGGGTTTTTCCTTTCGAGATTCCCCTCAAGATTTTTAAAGTGCAGCTGCTAGGGAGAGGTTTCCACACCCTTATAAAGAATGTTTTGTTCTCCTCCCCAACCGATGTGAGATCTCACAATCCACCCCCTTTGGGGCCCAGCGTTCTTGTTGGCACACTACCTCGTGTCTACCCCCCCTTCGGGGCTCAGCCTCCTCGTTGGCACATCGCCCAATGTTTGACTTTGATACCATTTGTAAGAGTTCAAGCCCACCACTAGCAAATATTGGACTTTTTTGCTTGTTTTTTCGAGCTTTCCCTCGAGGTTTTTAAAACGCGTTTGCTAGAGAGAGGTTTCCACACCCTTATAAAGAATGTTTCGTTCTCCTCCCCAACCGATGTGGGATCTCATGATCCATCCCTTTTGGGGCTCAACCTCCTCGATAGTACATCGCCCAATGTTTGGCTTTGATACTATTTGTAACGGTCCAAGCCCACCGCTAGTAAATATTACCATTTTGTGCTTTCTCTTTCGAGCTTCCCCTCGAGATTTTTAAAACGCGTCTGCTAGAGAGAGGTTCCCACACCCTTATAAAAAATGTTTCGTTCTCCTCCCCAATCGATGTAGATCTCACCATTATATTAATCAAAAAGTGAAATTCTAGAGCTAGCTTGATATAATTTGACCATTCAAAAGCCAATAATGCAAAGGTCAATATTTTAATTCTTTTGATCAATTTTTTCAATGGATAGCGTTAGTTTCAAAAACTAGAAAGCAAACAAAATATGATAGGGTGAGGTATAGACAAGAATTTTCAAAGAACATATCATCTAAGTAGGACCAAAAGCTTTATGAACCCTCAAACTTAGGGTAATTAAGCACAAACCACAACAAATTTTGTTACTATTGTTGCCATTTTCTTTGGTATGTGTACAATGATACAAAATGACAACAATTATTGGTCATCTAAATCCCATAAAAACATCATTAATATATTCAAAATCTAAATTAACTCCTCACTTCTTAGAGTGTAGACTATACTCGCTGTGATGTCCCACATTGATTAGAGAGGAGAACAAAACACTCTTTATAAGGGTGTGGAAACCTTCTCTTGCGGGGAAGCCCGAAATGGAAAGCCCAAAAAATACAATATCTACTAGCGGTAGATCTGGGCTGTTACAAATGGTATCAGAGCCAAACACCGAACGATATGCCATCCTTCTCGCTGTTCGCCGAAGGGGGGTAGACACGAGGCGGTGTGTCAGTAAGGACGTTAGGCCCCGAAGGGGGGTGGATTGTGATGTCCCACATTGGTTGGAGAGGAGAACAAACCACCCTTTATAAGTGGATTGTGATGTCCCACATTGGTTGGAGAGGAGAACAAACCAGCCTTTATAAGGGTATCTTCTCGCTATTCATCGAAGGGGGTAGACACGAGGCGGTGTGCTAGTAAGGACATTGGGCCCCGAAGGGGGGGGGTGGATTGTGATGTCCCACATTGGTTGGGGAGGAGAACAAAACACCCTTTATAAGGGTGTCTTCTCGCTATTCATCGAAGGGGGTAGACACGAGGCGGTGTGCTAGTAAGAACGAGCGGGCCCCGACAGGGATTAACACAAGTCATTTTTCGGGTGTCACATGTCCACCAGTTTCTACCTTGGTCCGTCCTTGAACCACATCTTATTGGGAGAGTTACCGCTTTATATCATTTATAACGATCTATACCCAAGATTCAAAATCTACTTTCTTAGAGGTTAAAAAACAACCATTAATTAAAATAATTTCCAAACTCATTATATCATCAATTAATAATATATATCACTGAGAGGAAGGCATGTTTTATTTATTTAATAAAAAAAAATTTAGAAAATAGCCTAAAAATGCCATCTCTAGAAACCTTGGAAATGCCAATGTCTACGTACTATATAATCAAGGGAACAACATAATTAATTAATTAATTAATTAATTAAAGGTTTTGTAGAGCTTTTGTCAAATTGAGCCAATATTCCCGGTGTTTTGATAGGCAGACACCTAGGCAGAATTTGTCACATTTATACATTTAAAACCTTATATTATATTTACTATTATATAGTTTTGTAGTTGAAAATCATGTCATCCAACTTTGAATATTAAATCCCTACCCAACTCTTATTATTTTATAAATATATTTTGGTGACATCATAATAAAACCTTTATTTTTATTTTTCAATAAATTTTTAAATTAATTTCTTTTATTTAAAAATAATAAACCATAAGTTTTGTTGTAAATATTATATATTATTAGGTTATTTTAATAATTAAATTTTAAAAATACAACAATTTTTCTATTTAAATGATTAATTTTTTAAAATTTGTGATTATATTTATTTATTTATTTATTGGAAGGGAAGGAATCTGAGTTGTTTTTCTTGGTACCATGAAAAATATAGCATATGCCTTGTGTCCCCAAAGCTCTTCACATTGCTTGTCTTTGTGTCCGCTCCAAGTTATGCTTTAAATACCTTTATATATATATATATATAATATAATTAATTAATCGTAAGGTTTCGACCCGGAATTTCAGTTCTTGATGTTGAACTGAATTTGAAATTTGATACTTGATAGTTCCGACATTTTCATGTTATGTAGTTGTGTTTAACTACTTTTACATTCGTCCTTGCTCTAGCGTCCTTGGGGCTTTCTATTTGATTGTATCGAAAGACCTAATGAATTGGGATTTCCCTATTGGGTTAGGTCATTTCTCGGCTACCGGATCATTTCTAATGAGGAGAATGATTCAGAGTTCTTGCAGAGTGGAGCCGTGCAGTACCAGATACGAGATAGATCTTCCAACGAACAAGACTTTTTTCGAATAAGCCAATTCATTTAGGATCCTGCAAATCCGCTCTTTTTCCTATAAAAAGATCAGGTTTTTGTCTTTGTGTTTTAGCATCGAGAATTCTTTGTAGACAAAGAGATGTCAAAGGACTATTTTGTTCTGACTCACACACTCCTATGACTTGATTGTGTTACCTACTTGTCTTGAACTAACTTCCACACAGATCATTTTATCATGTTTTGTCCTCACTCATATGTTTCTCTGAAAAATTCTCAAGATTATTCTACACTTAACTTTCGAGCTCCTATGGTTGAGTATAAGATCTCACATCGGTTGGAGAGAGGAATGAAGCATTCCTTATAAGGTTGTGGAAACTTCTTAGTAAACACGTTTTAAAACCATGAGACTCTTGACGATACGTAACGAACCAAAGTGAATAATATATACTAGCAATGGATTTGGGTTGTTGCAAATGGTATTAGAGTCAGATACTAGGCAATGTGCTAGCAAGGATGCTAGGTCCTCAAGAGGGTGGATTGTAAGATCCCACATCGATTAGAGAAGGGAACGAAACATTCCTCATAAGGGTGTAGGAACTTTCTCCTTAGTAGACACGTTTTAAAAACGTGAGGCTAAAGACGATATGTAACGGACCAAAGCGGAAAATATCTACTAGCGATGGGCTTGAGCTGTTACAAATGGTATTAGAGCCAGATACTAGACAGTGTGCGAGTAAGGCGCTGGGTCCGCAAAAGGGATGGATTGTAAGATCTCACATCGGTTAGAGAAAGAAACGAAGCATTCCTTATAAGGATATGGAAACCTCTCTCTAGTACACCGTTTTAAAACCGTGAGGCTGACAATGATACATAAGAAACCAAAGCGGACAATATAGCGGTGGGCTTGGACTGTTAAACTGAGTTATCATAAAAGAACATATACCTTATTAGTATCGGTAGTAACTATCAATTCTTTTAAATATTTTATAACTATCATAAACTTAAGATCATTCTCATTCAGATATAATTTAAATTCATTCGTATACTCCTCTTTTACTCAAACGTCGTATGCTTCCCGAGATATTTAATTATTCAAGATAATTAATTAGAGTTGACTAACTATATAATTAACATAAGTAATACTTAAAGATTACACCCACATGGATTAACTTTCATTGGAACTTGAAGAAGAAAATGAACCACAAATTCAAAACCCATAAAAAATTTAGGCATCAAAACCAAAGTTCATATAATGTTTGACAAATACAAAGGGATTTTCACATTTATATTCAAACTTGGATGTTATTATTTTGTTGGTTTCATACCTATTTTTCTTCTTTTCGAATAATAAATATTTATAAAAAGTTTAAAAAATACTCTTATGGTTCGTACCATACCACGTTTAGAAAAATATTCATAAACTTTCGAAACAAAAATGAGTACCTTTAAATGTTTAGAAAAAAAATTTAAAAGGCTCGTACATGATTTATAAGGTGTAGATAAACAGTTTTCGATCATATATTAATAGTAAGATTTTTTTTTTTTTTTTATATTAATACCACTCTTAAAATTTCATGTATATTTTCTAAAGACGTACCAATGGTAAGAATATTTTATAATTTTTTAACATTTTTAAAGGTATTAATAAAAAAATTTAAAATTGAATAATATTTTTTAATCCAAAACTAAATATAATGATATATATATATCCCTACCCAAGGTTACATGTGTGTGTGTATATATATATATCCCTACTCAAGGTTATATGTCGTAGCCGTTGTTGTGACTCTCTTGCTTGCTTATATAACGTCTCTTTCAAACATCTCTCTTTCGAAATTCTCTCTCTGCCTTCAATTTCTAAAATCTTCTCTTAAATCGAGGTCAGAGGCTCGAGCATACGTCGCTTGGCCGTAGGCGACGTAAGAATGAATTGTCGTTGAAAAATGAGTACCGCACAATTGCAAGTCCATTGCCATCAAGAGTGCGATTGTGACAAGTGGTATATATATATATATATATAATTGAGCCCAATTTATTAACTTAGCCACATTGACCTTTTGGTGAGAGACAAGTAGCCCTATCCCTCAAATGATTCCCATTATTTTATTTTATTAATATTATTTTTTATATATATTTAAAAATATAATTTGATTTCATGATAATTAAAGCATAATCTAAAATAAAAATATTGTTGATTTAAGTTCACAATCAACTATTTTCGTCAATTTGACAAAGAAAAATGCTAATGTTTTATTGTGTTCGCAATATTGGTGACAGAAATATAAAGAAAAATTCCTTCGACCTTTATCATTTTCATTTGATTCACGAAACAATATGTAGCATCTCTTATTTAATTATTTAATTGCATGATAAAATGTCATTGTCACTTAAAAAAAAATATTGTATAAATAAATATTAAAATTGCATTAATAATATTTATTTAATTCCTTTTAGGTATATTTATTTATTAGTTGGTGAAACCTTGTATCATGCATTAAAAAAAATTGATGGGCCCATTTTGGACTTAGGCCCATCAAATTTTATAAAGAGATCCTAAAAGAAAATTTATTAAAAATTAAAAAAATTACGGAAATAATCTATGAGACGTTGATAGACTGTTTTTGTCAAAATATTAACCATGAATTTTTTTTTTTTTTGAATTTTTTTCGAAAGGTAAAGAGTTTTAATGCTACTTTAAAAAATGGGGAGATATTTTAACGTAAAATTATTTTTTAATTTTAAAAAAAATTAAAGATATTAATGAAACTTTTTTTTAGAGTTATCTTCTTTTTAAAGAGATTCGATTCGGAACTGGGTCTAATATTGAAATCATTTTAGAGGTTTCCCTTGACTTTGTCCGTGTCAACACACAATTTGAAATGCCTCGACTTTTTTAGAACAGGTTCAAGTCAAATAGTAATGATTGGAAGCACCTCTTTTTACACTATTTTGGAAACGCAAGGACTCAATCGTATGGATATGTATAATACAGGATTTTAAGGGTATTTTTGAAATAAATTAACGGTTTCATCTAAAACTAATTATAAAAATATTTTTGAGATTTTTTGAAAAACGACATTTTTTTTTGAGACAAAGTGTAAGGTTTAAGGATGGTATAATGATGTTTTTTTCTGTGTTTTTCTGTCATTTTTGGATATTTGATGGGCCTGAGTATCAAAGGCCCAAAGATCTCAAATTTAGGCCCAAAGTTTGATCCATTAAAATGGAAAGGTACTGGGCTGCATAAAACCAGGTTCGAATCTTAGCCTCTTCATTTTTCTCTCTAAAATGTTTATTAAATATAAAAGAATTTAAAAAAAAAAAGTAAAATAATCCATAGGAGAATATTACATATATGGATCAAACGAACTTCGACCCAAAGTTCACGAATCTATAGGAGAATATTACACCTCAAGAAGACTAAAATAATCCATCTAGAGTTCGATGACAGTTAATAGGGACAATCGATGGACTACCTTAGAGCCCTGAAGTTTTCTCGAGGAAAGTGATAAGTTCATGAATTGGATAAAGAATCTTACCGTCCAAGAAAAATCAGAATAATTCATCTCAAGTGTGATGTCAATGGTAAAAATAATCTAAAAATTACCTTCGGGTCCTAATATTTTATCCAAAAAAGTGATAAGTTTACAAATTTATAGGAGAATCTTATGTTACATCAAGACTATAATAATCGGTGTGATGGCTGGTTGGAATTTTAGGGATAAACTAGGGACATCCTTATGATTTAAGGACAAACACAAAATACCATAAAAATCAAGGGCCAAATAAGACCGAGGAGAGAGAAGGGAAACTTGGGTCGAAACCCAAATTCTTCAATCGGTCTCATATGAGGAATATGCTCAACGAGCCCTAGTCGGTGTGATCATGGTTCATCCTAATTCGATCTTCTTTTCATCTCATCTGAAAAGAAGTCAACAAAAATTTTAAGAGGCATATGAATACTCTTCTGTAACTTGTAACTTGAAAAAGGTAAGCTCTTCCTAGACCTTATCGCACTAGATTCTTACTAGCTCACCCCATCCTTAGTAAATAGTCTCTTTCGGCCTTCCATTTCAAATTTCTCCTTTAGGTTTTTAAACGTGTCTGTTAGAGAAATGTTTTCATACACTTGTAAAGAATGCTTCGTTTCTCTCTCCAACCGACGTGGGATCTCACAATCCACCCCCTTCGTGGCCCAACGTCCTCGCTAGCACTCGTTCCTCTCTCCAACCAATGTGGGATCTCACAATCCACCCTCATTTAGGGCTTAGCGTCTTCGTTAGCACATCATCCATTGTCCATCCACTTCGTGGCTCAGCGTCCTCGCTAGCACACCGTCCAATATCCACCCCCCTTCAAGGCTCAGTGTCCTCGCTGCCACACCGTCCAGTGTCTCCTCTCCAACCGATGTGGGATCTCACAGTTATTATCTAAGTTGAGATACAAAGATGACCATCTATATTCAAATTAAAATTTTAATCGTATACCGATATATAAGAAAAAAAAATTCATAAAAAAGACTTAACCTTTACATTCAAAGATAATTACACGCCATAAAATTTTCAATTTACATCCAACCATTATCAAGAGACGGTCACGCGATAACGATTTCATGGTATGCAACAAAAATCAATTACACATTTGAATTCAATGTCATATTAAATGTGTTATTAGAGCATTAAATCCAAAACCATAGCCAAAGTTTGGTTGTGGTTCAAATAATAAGAAGGCAGCTTCTGAAAAAAGGTGAAGTGAAAGGTTGATAGAATCCAGCGTTGTGGTTGTGTCAAAAAGTGGGTGCTTGGCTTCTGCACCAAAACGTACATTCTGCATAAACGTTAAATCCCATTCTCTATTATTCAAAAGAAATTCAAAAGCAAAAGAACATAATTTTCTTTGAAGAAACTAATGATTCTTCTTCGCCCATAAACAAAACTAAACTCTTTCATTCATTTATATTCCCTTCTTGTTCTTCCTTCTTCTTCACCTCTTTCATTCAATACAATCAAAATGAGTACACAAATTTGGGGTTTGGTCGCCCTTTTTCTGCTGCAATCTTTCCTTATGGGTATGTTTTTTTTTGCTCTGAAAACGACATTTTTATGTCGTTTTTGCTTCATGTGTTCTTGTTTTCTATCTGGTTGTGTTTTTTTTTTTTTTTTTTTCTCACTAGAAACTCCATTTTTGTGTCGTTTTTGCTTCAAATGCTCTTGTTTTCTATCTGGGTATGTTTGTTTTCTCATAAAAACTCCATTTTTGTGTCATTTTTGCTTCAAATGCTCTTGTTTTCTATCTGGGTATGTTTGTTTTCTCATAAAAACTCCATTTTTGTGTCATTTTTGCTTCAAATGCTCTTGTTTTCTATCTGGGTATGTTTGTTTTCTCATAAAAACTCCATTTTTGTGTCATTTTTGCTTCAAATGCCCTCGTTTTCCATCTGGGTATGTTTTTTTCTCTCTAAAAACTCCATTTTTATGCCATTTTTGCTTCAAAATCTCTCATTTTCTATCTGGGTATGTTTTTTTCTCACTGAAAACTCAATTTTTATGCCATTTTTGCTTCAAACACTCTTATTTCCCATCTGGGTATGTTTTTTTTTTCTCCCTAAAAACTCCATTTTCATGCCATTTTTGCTTCAAACACTCCCATTTTCCATCTGGGTATGTTTTTATCTTCATCTCATTCTCAAATCAAGAGAAAACCCAGCACGTGTCTTCATCAAAATACCTCTATTTCCCCCTAACATTCTCGCAAATCTTGGTTCTTATTCACTACTTCCTTAAAAACAGGGGAAGCAATGGCGACGGCGGTGGCGGTGGAGAAGGCAGAGGCGTCAATGCCAATGACAACATGGTCGCCGCCGGAAGGGAACACAACGTTCTTGGACGGAACTTCATGGTGCGTGGCTAAGCCAGGAGTGTCCCAGATCGATCTACAAAACGCGTTGGACTGGGCGTGCGGATTGGGGAAGGCCGACTGCAGAGCCATCCAAAAGGGAGGGCGTTGCTATCAGCCGGATACCCTGTTTTCTCATGCCTCTTATGCGTTTAATAGCTATTATCAACAGAATGGAAACTCTGATATTGCTTGCAACTTTGGTGGCTCTGCTACTTTAACCAAAAGAGATCCAAGTAAAATCCTAATCTCTTTTCTCCATCCATTTTAATTTAGTTTCGATCGTGTTTTCAAGTAAAATTCTCTTTTATTTCGAGTCGAAATGTTTTAATTACTTAACTAGTCGGTATATACATGTGAATGTTCGGTAACAACAGTCATAGGTAAATATTCTGTTCTAACCTTTAATCATCATTTTTCGATCACTTTTCTTTATTGCATACATCTAAAGAAAATGCTTAGATCAAAATATTCCTGTCCTAGAGATGTTTAACTAAATTGTATAATAAGAAGAATTAAGAAGAAATTTGTCATTATGGTAAGAAAAAAACGAGTAATTTGAATCTTCGTTTTGTTGGTATAAAAAAATTGACTATATATATATATATATATATATATATATATATATATATATATCTCGGTGTCTGTGAAATCTCACGTCCGTTGGAGAAGAGAACGAAACATTCTATTACGTGGAAACTTTTCCTGTTTTAAAAACTTTGATGAATAGAAAGGAAAAGTCTAAAGAGAATAATAACTGATGATTTAAAGAATGATAATGAGTTTATAATCAATGAATGCGAGGTCTTTTGGGGAAGCCCAAGGCATAGTCACGAGAGTTTATGCTCGAAGTGGATAATATCATATCATACCATTGTAAAGAGTCTATTCATTTAACAATATCTACTTGGTTGTTACCTAAAAGATCTAACCATATTTCTCGTACCTTTTGTTTTTACAGGTTATGGGAAATGTGACTATTCAGCATCGAGGTATTTTAACTTCACGTAGAATTTAAGAATAATAATAATACTAAAAAAATCTTAATTTAAATTTATGTCTAGTTAATAAATTCTTCGCGATTTATTAATTATAAAACCATTATTACAAATTTTAAAGCACAAAAACTAAACTCGAGAAATTTTGAAAGTGTAGGGACCAAACGGATAAAAAGTTTAAAGTAGGAGGACTAACTTGCAATTTAATATAAAATAATAATTATTTTTTTTTTTTTTGAATGGCCCTTAGGTCAACGAGCTCAGCACGTTCAAAGTGGAAGAAGAACGGAAGGCATGGGTGGCTGAAATTGGTTGGTGGGATTTTTATGGTTATGAATTTATATTTATTTTAATAATAAAAATAGGGAGGGACTTAAATGCAAAGGGAAAGGAGGGAGGGGTTTATTAGCAATATTTTGTAATGTAAATTTTTAATTTAGGTTACTTTTATTCTTCTCTTTGTCGATGGTTTAGGAATCTAGGCAGCCCTCTCCCCCTTTTCAACGTTATTCTTATTTACTTTATTATTATTATTATTATTATTATTATTTTTAATAATTTTTTCCAATTCTTCTCTTCGTCCATGGGCTACGTCGTTATTTTCAAATGATTTTTTTTTAGAGAATAAAAAATATTTTTAAATTAATTATAAATATATTTTTTTCTCGTAATTTCTTAAATAATTAAGAGTGAAAATTTTTTAAAAAAACATTTTAATAGAAAGGGAAATTGATCCTAATTATGTAATTAGCTTTTTTTTTTTTTTTTGAATTTACTAAATTGAATAAATATAAAATCTTTTTTATTTGGAATGTTTCTAAAATAAATGAAAATAAATTTTTTTTTGAGAATCAGATACTATGTGTGGTGTGATGTATCATATTGGCTCCAGACGAGAACAAAACAACTTTTTATAAGGGTGTGAAAACTTTTAGTAAATGACGCGTTTAAAAGTGTTGAGGGAAGCCCAAAGAGGACAATATCTGCTAGCGGTGGATCGGGGTTGTTACAAATGGTATCAGAGCCAGCACCGGATAATGTGTCAGCCTTCTCGCTGTTCTCCAAAGGGGAGTAGACACGAGGCGGTGTGCCAGTAAGGACGTTGGGTCCCAAAGGGGGTGGATTTGGTGGCAGTCTCACGTCGATTGGAGAAAAAAAACGAGTATTAGTGAGGACGCTGGCCCCGAAGGGGGTGGACTGTGATGTCCCTTATTGGTTGGGGAGGAGAACAAAACACCATTTACAAGGTGTGGAAACCTTCCTGTAGAAGACGACTAATAAACAGTCGAGGGAAAGTTGAGGGAAAGCCAAAAAGATAATATCTGCTATCTGCTGGCTCTGATTTGTCGTTACATGTACAAATTTTATATAAATAAAAAAAAATTAATTTCTATAAGTTATTTTATTTTTATTAAGTGGAATTATTCAAATAATTTTAATTAATTAAATTTTACTTTAAATTTCATTCATTAATAACGTTATTTGATTTAATATTTTTAATAGTAAATAATTAGTTCTAAATTATTTTAAATGAGATAATTTTATAAATATAATATAATTATGATAATTTATTAATAAAACAATAAAAGAGAATTTTATAACATGCACAAAATAATTATTATAATAGAATGTATAATTAATTTTAATTAATTATTATTAATTATAAATTTAATTTGAATCAATTAATTATATTTTAAAATTAACATATTTTAATAATGATTAACTAATCAAAATTAATCTAAAAAATAATTAATTGATTATAAATATTCATAAGTAATTATAGCCCTTAATAACCAACTTTTTATCAACTCAACAAATCTTAATTAATTCACTTTAAAAATATTGTTAGCTAATAAATAATTTTAGTAAATTAGGCTATGATGACTAGAGATTAAAGTACTAACCTGAGCACAAATAGTTCTAC